CCTTAATTTATATTTTATTCCTTCCTAGTTAAATTTACCCTTTTTAATTTTTCATATTTATTTCCTATCTATTCAAGCCTTTTCCTTTTTATTTCTTTAGGTCACGAGCAGTTGTCTAAGCATTTCACTGCATATCGTACTGTGTATGACTGTGTACGTGACAAATAAAATTTGAATTTGAATTTAATTATATCGTCCTACCTGCTGTTATGAAGGACTGCAGCATCACTTTGCACAATGAGGTGAAAAAGCGCTGACAGAGGTAACTGAATGAAACTGGGCCAAAGTAGGCGGAGTTAGCAGTGAGTCAGCTTAGCTTAAAAAAGGCTGAAAGTCGAGGGAAAGCCTGGCTTCCAGGTCAAGACAGCCAAGTGTACAAATGAAAGAAATGAAAGACAATTTCTTCATCAGTGGGCAGAGCCAGGACAGACATAATATGAAGCTATACTAATTTGCTGCAAGTTCCAGCTACACTTTAACCACACTGACAGTTCTATTGTGCCTCTCATTTTACTCTTGGCCCGAAGGCAAAGAAGTTTAAATGTCATTACGGTCATTGACAGTTTCATTTTCATTCTGGATTATGAAGCTGCAGTACATTTAAGATAAGATAAGATAACCTTTTAATAAATAAATGTACAAATTTCCCATGTGTGGGACTAATGTCCCACACATGGGAAATTTGTTTTGTTACAGCAGAAAGTGGACAGTGCAAAGTTATATAGCAAAAATGAGAGAACATTACCTGGGCTACACATCTTAAACAACACCATAAAATAGAATTTAATAGCTAAAGAGTGAGAGCACTAGGTGACTTGTTATGTTGTGAAAGGATATTCATATTTTTCACTACAATGACCCCTGGCATGCTGATGCAGCTTGAGCTCAAATATAAATCGACACAGTTCAGCATTGACCTGGGTTTAGTTTAAGCTCACCTGCATGCGGTTCATGGCCTCTCGGATCTGGTCCAGGTGATGGGCAGAGCTAAGTGCCTCCAGGCGGATGTCCGTCAATTTGAGCTCCTTCTCCCTCAGCTCGTTCTTCAGCTGGAGGATGATTTCTGCCTCAGCCTCAGTGCATTCACATAGCCTGAAAGTGGGTTCACACAGGAGGAGGGCTCACCTTTAGGGTTATACCAAGCACGTACACCAAGTCTGGAGAATGTGCACTTTCAGGGGGAACAAGAAAGCTGAAGTTCAAGCTGAGTCAGTCTGGGCTGGTATCACATGGGTGAACAAGGAACGTTAAGCACTTGGTACAGCAAATCCTTCCCATTGATACTACAGTACTTTATTTTAGCAATCTTACAGGAAAAGAAATATTGCAATATGTGTAGGATGTTTATGCCAGAATTTATGACAGCCATGCAGCATACCGGTTGCTCTTTTCTTTATTTAACATTAATGTTTAGTCTGAAATGTAAGAGATCATTTTCAGAGTAAACTAAAAAGGCTGATGTGGTGTTGTCATAATGACAGAGATTCAGCTGTTTTCGTAATCAGCAGGCAGATATTAAAAAAGTCGACATGTAAAAATGCTATGTTTGCTAAGTCGGAAACCTCCACATGCCGAGACTATGAGAGTTAAGATACCACGCATGCCAGGTTATCTTAACCCAAACAATACCTGGTATGACTGTGAAACAGCTATATATTTATATATCAATATATAAATAGATATATTGACCTTTTGTAGTAAGATGCAGACAATTTTTTCTGACATGTCTGACAAAACAAGAACAGTTTTCTTTCCATTCTGCTACTTTTCCATAACCGAGAACTGGACAATTTTAAGGTCCTGGTTCAGTTTGTGTCCCGGAGCAAAGCGCTAATATGGAGAAGAACGCCACACAAACACAAACCACTGCAAACACACTCCCAGGGAGCATGCCACTCAGTGCCTGTTACCGAGATCTGTGCTTGTAGACCACATAACCATTTAGCTTTTTCTTTGCCGTCCAAATGGGGGAAGACTTGCTATCGCAAACGCACTTGCTACAGTAGGTAGAGAAATAGTAAAGAAATGATGAAACAGAGTGGTTGGATGAAAGAGAAAAGAAAAGTGAAGTGAGGGTCAGAAACAATTACATATTCAGAGAAGAAAAAGAAATGAGACAAGTGTGTATTTCAGTTATTATAGATCGTAGATACGGCAGAAGACAATGTCTCATGTGAATAGAACTGTGAGAGTGAATGAGTATACATTTACTCACTCTGTGGTGGAGGGTGAAGAGCGCAGCGTGGCGATACTGCCTTGCCTGTTGTCGTGCTGCAGTTTGGGTGAGGAAGGCAGAGAGTCGGTCATCTCCTCCATCTCATCGTGGGCTGACTGCGATTTGGTTTTCTTCTTGCTGAACGCCTGCTTGAAGGAGCTTCGTAACTGCAACACACATAACACAAACACACAGGGGCAGAAACATCAGTACCGGCCGTGCTAACCTCCTCAGTCATATCATGTCAGTTCATATTAACCCTGATGATATTGCATCCTGTCAGGAAGTTACTCCGTGCTGTTTCCAAGCAATGGGCACTGTCTGGTTTAGGTAAAAAGGCAAGAAGCAAGACCATAAGTACAGATGAGAATGGGGGGGGCAGGCGTTTTTAATGTTCCTAAAAATTTTGGGATGAACAGGCAGTCAAAATGAGGAAGGGCGGAGGAAAAGGAGGGGGAGGAGAAACAATGGGGGAAAGGGGAAGGTCGCTGTATCCATGCCGACGTTCTCAGAAAAAGGAGGAGGTTGCTCTAAGAGGGGGAGAAGGCAGGGCAAACGTAGGAGCAAAGGAAGTGAAGATGAGGAATCACTGCACACAAACAGAAGACACTCTGGGAACCACTGACCTGAGCCGGGAGGGAATCGGCCACCTGAAGATGCAAAACACACCCAACATTAAGTCACGCAAACACACACCCCTGCTCTGCAGGAGACTCAGTGTTGATTAAAGATAACTGCTGCAAATATCACTGTTTTACTGGAGACATTCCAGTTACTGCTGTTGCTAGAATGGTAACAATCGTGATGAATGTTATTACAGTTGCGTTCCCTTTGGTAGGAGGAGAGCATTTCTGCAAGCATGCTCAGTGTTTGATCACCGCTGCCTGAGGTGATCTGAGGTGACAAATAAACTTGTCTGAATACGGGACAGTTTAGATCTCAAGTCAATAAAACCAACATTTTACAAAGCAAAGAGTTCAGGACGCAACATGAAGTCAGCACAATGATGCACAACACAAAATATGCAACATTTCACAACACTGCCACTCTGATATTGAAATGCTAATTATTTGCAGCTTAGGTTATGAGTTGAAATTCATGGTTGTAATTGCAGCTATATGATAATATGCAACTTCATCCTTCACCTTGCTACCCTGTAAGCCTGATGTGTGGTTTTTGTCTTTGCTTTTCATTCACTAACCTCAATTCAACTCTGTCCTCCACCCATCATACACCCAGGAAGAATTTATGCAAATGAATAATTAATTGCTGCTGAAATAAGGAAACGGCTGGTATTCATGAGGCTGGCTTGATGTTGACATGTCAGGCTTGGTGGGGAACTTTTACACTGTTAGTATGCATTTCATTTCAAGGGCATGTGTTTTGCATTGCAGCAGAGACTGGAGAATGGCTCTAGTTTGTGTGCTCCTTGGCTGAGACAGAACTTCTAATATGTCATCTCTCTCACTCAGGGGACTGCAGCAAATCGCAGCTCTCAGCCAGGGATGCTGAGTAGCTTGTACAGCAACCAGCAAAATTAGCACAGATAGAGCAGAGAAAGGGGAAAAGGCTTTATGGCTTTGGATGTTTTGGGAAAATGTATATATACATTTGTCAATTGAAGGAAAACTGCTTTAAACATACATCTGAGACTAGGATTTAACTTCAGTTCAAGATGCATTTTAGACATGTGAGTCAGCAAACACTCAGTTTCCTTTTTATTCCCCCAACATGCTCTGTAGGAGGAATAAAGCTATATGCCATGCTGTTTTACACCTCCAAGCTTGACCAAGTCCAATTGTGTAACTGAGGGATTAAGAGCTTTTCTCAAAAGCACTTTGACAGGAAATTTCGAAGAGTGTTTCTATTCTATCCAAAATTGGAAATTTAACAAGTACTCCTCTAACCTCTGGGCAGAAACTCGACTTTTTTCAGGCTGAACCTCTGTGTACATGACATTGGTGGCCTCTGTTTCTTTTCCAACCTCATCTGCATGTTAGACTAAATATGAATTTCCAAGTGTTTCTCAAACAGTGACTGCAGTGTGGTTCATTATGCTTGATCCTCTTTTAGGTCAAGATGCCTTCAAGATTTTGCTGCACACTCAATCCTCGAAGGAATCTCAACTCAAATATGACTAAATATTAGATTTTTGATCTACATGGTGACTTGATCACACGTATGAAACCAGTTAATCACAGACTGATTCAGTCATGTAAGGCAGCAAACACCCACTTTACACTAAAGAAGGAATGATTGGGCATAAAAAAATCAGAGCATTAAAAACATGGATTGGAATTTTGGGGCAGAAATGATCCATTTGCTTTTGATTTGATGAGCAAATAAAGACTAAATAATGCAAGTTCTTCTGAGCTCATGCAGGTATAGTTAATGCATTCTTCTTGTAGGAATGTGGATGATTTTTAGTGAGAGCAACAGTACAATCACATTTATTTGATAGAGCTGCAAAAATATCTTTTCTTTATGCAAATAAGACATTTAATCTCTTAATGTGGGCATATAAAGCACATATAAAATAGCTTCAATGCCACTGAATAATGTATATGTATCTAGGGGATTTCTTACCAAATCCACCTCCAACAATGTCTGGATATTTTCATGTGAAAATATAAAGCATCTGTTGGTTGCAGCAAATGAATGCAAGCCAGAAATTAAAAGACACCTGCATATATAGCATAATCTCAAAATACCCAAAACAGGCAGCTGAAAGTATTTTGAATGGTGCTCATGGCCATTGATCAGTGGTCATAACAGTTTGCATATTAATGATCAAGGAACCGACCTCCCAGCCCATTGTTCGAAGACCATTGCTAGTTTCAGTCATTATGCAAATGCACTGTTTATAAGATTGGGGAAACCTGCCGAGTGGGAGAAATGACGAAACTGAAAACGCTACGCCCAGATGAACAGAATCAACCTTTTGGGGCTTTGGTTAAGAAGTACTCAGTTCCACCCCTCTCTTATATTTTGCCTTAAAAATTAAGCTCAAGGTCCAAAAGTGCAGTTCATTGTATGAGCAGTTGAGACTGTCCCCCAAACAATCAATCCCAATAGAAAGGCATGTTTAAGGCATAGTACAACAAGTGCTTTAAGTCTTTCTAGCTAACCTTCTGTTCATGAGTACAAGTATGTTTTACTAAGGGTGCAGCCACTTTTACTGTTAGATTTTCTAGCAGATTTCTGTGTCTGTGCGATACACTCGTAAAGTGAATGGATGTAGCTTGTTAGTAAGAACTCAGATTACACCACGCTCCCATCCAAAAAGCAGGGTGCTATGTCTTTTCCTGATGAGTCTTTGAGAAGAGCCACTGTTAGCCACTGGAACTATGGAAGGTTTGAGGTCTGGTTTTGAAATGTGGTTTTACTCGGAAGCTTTAGTGTTTTTATCTTTTCACCTACCCAGCTCTTCTTCTTCTTCTTTTTGTCTTCGGCATCCTTGCCCAAGCTGCCCATACTTGAATGACTGGCTGCGCTGTTAATACTGGACATACTTTCAGAAGAGTGCTGTCGTCTAATCCTCAGATCTGGAAAGAACAGACAAAGCTTTCTTTAGTGCAAAGAACGTTTAGGTGAACAGTGTCACTACATTTATTGGTTGATACTGGTTCTTATTTAAAGTGCTGCAGGAATTGTTTCTTTCAATCTGACTCACACAGCACAAAAATCTGTAAATAACAGGGGTTCAATTACCTATGGAGCCAGTTGGGCTAATTGTTCATCCACTTATCAAAACATCATTTAATTTTGTCTCCTGCCAGCCTGCTCATTACCTTTGTCAAGGTGGTTTGGGCCATTGAGTGCCACCTGGATAGCTGTTTGGGCGTCTGTGTTCTGGGTCTTCAGCATTTCTATCGTCTCCCTCAACTCTGCCAACTCGGACTCCTTTAGTCAGAAAAAAAGAGAGAGAACAGGAGGTGCTGTTTTATTTTTTATTTATGAAGACAGAAATCTCTGTAGTCTAAATAAAACACACTTTCCAAATCCAAAATCAGTGATCAGACCAGGTTATTTTTAAAAAGGATGAGGAACCCAAAAATGTTGGAATCATCCCCTTAGTTACATTACTGAGAGCAGACTCTTAAATTTTGCATTGAGGTAGCTGTGTGTGTGTTTGTGTGTGCGTATGGATGTGTGTGTGTGTGTGGGGAGGGGTATATTTTGAGAAATACAGTAGATTTGCCCCAAAGCCAGCACCACCTGCTTAGAATAAGAAGAATACTGGACCAGATAAAGGGAGACTCCTACTCTGTCTTTCCCCAAAACTCACTGAGGGCTGCAGATAGGGTTTTCACTTTAATTAAAAGTTAGGATGGCCTTGTTTGACAAAGGCAGCTCACCCATCTCAGTCTCCTTTAATTTATAGAGGATTAAAAAGCAGCCAGGGCTTGTCAGCTATGCGTGCATGTATATGTGAACAGAGGGGAGCATTCTTCATTTGTGGTAGGGGTATGCCTAAGAACATATTGCTGCTGCTGTGATGAGTTTTAGTTCTTTTCAAGCTCTTTTGAAGTCCTAGAGAAAAAAATAGCTGCGGGCAAAAAATGATGACGGAAAGACCGCTTTAAACAGATTTTTGTTATTAAACTGGATACTTTTACTTACATATAAAGCACTGAAGTTTGAATCCTAAGCATGTCAAAAGACTTTGGTTAAGGTTAAGAGCACTGTTAGAGAAAAACTTTACCAAGTAAACTCCTTCAGCAGAAAACTTTTCACGAGTCGAGAATTGAGCCTTTAATATATTTTTATTATGTCACAGTGACCAACCTCTGACTTGATACTTCCCACTGAAATTATTCAGTGCCACACAGTTTCACGTTTCTAATCATTTCTCCTCTTTGTAGTCTCTTTTGAAGATGCTACACACAGTGTATTTTAAATTCAAGAATAAGCTCTTGTACCTTTTGCTCGGCTGTCATGGTGAGGCTCTGCAGGCGGCAGGTCATGTTACTCAGACTCTTCTCAAAGGCTGCCACCAGGTGAGCCTACAGACACAGGAAGACAAGCAAACTTAATCCTCGCTTTTACTCTTTTACATGCTTTGGCTCACTATTTATGTTTTTCTTATGCAAATCGAAAATCCAGATTCAAAAAGAGAAAGCACTGAAATAAATAAAACACACACACACACACACACACACACACACACACACAC